CTGTCTGATCAGTGCATTCACTTGAGTTTTTCCCTCATAAAGTTCCACCAAAAGCTTTCCTCCTGGGTCTTTTGCCACGATCAAAGCAGTGAAACAATGACTGTCCGCAAAATTCCGAAACCAATTTTCAACTTCACATGGCACATCTTCAGGCATATCTGAGAGCCCACATTCAATTGCCTGCACTGCGATGGACATAATTTCTCCTGCTTCAATTGGAACCGGCAGCAAGTCTGATTTATCTACTTCCAATGTGTCACCATAATCCACAAAATTGACCACAACTGATGGTTTTGTAGACTTTATTTGGCCTCTGTACCAAAGTCCATCTGTGTATTTTGCAAAGCAAACTGTTCCAAAAGTCTGAGGACACTTTGTTTCCTCTAGCTGACGGCATAGGAAGTTGACCTTGTTTGAAAGTTTCGCAATCTCCTCCGAATTCCTGGCAAGATGGCAAAAGAAATTAGTGACACTTTTCACACAGGTGATACTCACTTCCTCTTCACATCCAGTCTTGACGCCATGTGTGGAATAATAGTAGGTGTCCAGCCGAAAGGGTGGAAGAGGAGCTTTCTTAGAGGGTGCACGGTCAGCTAGACGTCTTTGGACAAGGAGATTGCAAATGCTTTGGAATGGGGTCTCCAAGTCTACCACATTGAACACAACTTTCTGGGAGTCATACATTACAGCAAATATGGTGCATTTTAAGGGCACATTTATGGACGCTGCTGTGTCAACAAACTCTTGAAACTGCAATGTGGCTTCAGGGCTCCAGTCTAAAGCTGAGTGGGAAACTGGTTGGATCAGGTTATACAAACTGCATCGAAAGGCTTGTCCTTTCATCTTCAAGAATGCTGGAGTGATCTTTCGAAGATCTTCAACAGCAACCTTCTTTGTCTGTCCATAGTCAATGAACAAGACATCAACATGAGGCGTTTGGTGCTTTTGAATGACCAAGGCTCTGTACCATATCCCAGTTTCAGGATGACGGGCAACACAAGCTGCTTCACATGCTTGAAATTCACTATGAGCATAGAAACGCTGAATGTCTTGCATTAGAACTTCTAAACATGCTGCATTTCTGGCTTTTTGACACCAAAAGTCATTTGGACTCTCAATGTAGGATACAGTTACCTCCAGTGAACTTCCAATGGGAAACAAGTATTCCTTGAATGCAGATGCACTGTCTGTTATGGCAGAAGAACTGGAAGGCGTTTGATGCCGAGCTCCTGTCAAGAATACACCAGATGTGTGTGTGGTTTTTAAACCACAAGATCTTGTGGTAGAATTATCCACAAAGCTTTTTTCACTGTCTGCGAAATCTGCATTGCACAGCAACTGGATCACATTATTTTCTCCATCTAAACTCGGATCCACTAACTGGACCATGTGAGTGTCTTGATGCTTGTCTTGAATGTGCAAATCAAGTACTCGGTCTTCAACGAGTTTCGAAAAGAACAATGTAGCCCTCTCGTCCCAATGTTTCAGTCTGGATTTAATGCCATAGAGGGAGCACTTTACTGCCACAGCAGGCAACTGCTGAAATCTCAGAGGCAACTGTCTGAGGTTGAAACAATCAACAAGTTCTGTGTTGCCATAGTCAAGGAAGTAAACTTCTGCTTTCTTGTCAATAACCTTATAGATAGATGCTCTATAGAACACACCATCCTGGGCTTTAGCTGCACAGAGGAGACCAACAACAGGCTTTCTTATCAATCCTTCAGTGCTTGTTGGATCACTGTACAGATTTCCAAGGCCATTCATTAGCTGATTGAATTCATCTGCGTATCGCTGAGTTTGAATCCAAAACTTTCCAGGGCTCTCAACATGCTGTACAACTGCCACATGTGAAGTGTTAGGTGTGAGACTTTCTGTGAAAAAGACTGGCTTGTTCCCTTTAAGGTCAGAGTAGGTTTCATCAATGTGTGTGGCCTTGGTTGTCTCCAAAATCTTGCTCTTTTGAGATAATGGGCTCTTTTGAACAGCAAAGTCTGTAAGGGTCATATCAGAGTCCAGTGAACATTTCTGTTTCAGTTCAAACAATTTGTTGATGTTTGTGTTCTCCTCTCCGTAAAACGTGACATAGTGGACACCTTCAGAAAGGCTTTGATACTGAAACTTGGCGATAACTGTGCGGTTGAGCAGGAGAGATTTCAGGTAATCGATTTGTGAAGCTGTCCAGCCAATACCTCTGTCGGCTATTCCATGAAGGGAGCACACATACGTTACGACAGGCATCCTGAAGAATTCAGGGGCAAGTGGTCTGACATTCTCAACTTTTACAAATTGTTTCTTCCCATAATCCACCTGCAAAATTTCAACCACATTGTTGGCAGACATGACCTGCTGCAGCACAGACCGATACCACTTGCCGTCACTTCCTCTTGATGCACACGGGCTGCCTAGATTCTCAAGTCTTGCAACGTTGCATCCAACTCTTCCCTCGTAATGCTGAGTTATCTGTTCAGTTAATTTTTTCAGCTCCTGAGAGAAAACCTTAAGCTGACAGAATATTCGAAATGGACTTGTTACTTCAGTGACCACAACAGTCTCAACAGTATCGGTCTGCAGCTCTGGATACATGTAGGCCTGCTGCTTCTCTATTTGCTCAATGATCTCAATTGGTTTGGTCCTAATGGAAGAAATTCTCTGAGGTTCTCCAGTTTCACTGTTGGCCTGCAAAGATCTGGCAACAAACTCCTTGAACCGATCACTGTACAACTTCTTTGCAAAGCCCATTTCAAACATCTGTCTGGACAGACAAGGAATGTCAAGTAGGAATGTTCGATGAGGCACAAGAACATCTTGAACAGTGGCATTGACTCTTCGACCACAGAAGGACTTCATGAACTCTAAGGCCATTGCTGACCATTTGTTTTCAGGAGACAGTGGTAGGACATTGGCAAGAACACAGAATTCAACTTCAGGGGGAAGATAGAAAAAGTCACTTTTGCCCCATGCTAAAGTGTTTACAGTGGCACGCAGCGTTCTGCCTTCATCAATTAAAAACACGCTGTACTCGTCAGTATCTCTGGACACTATACGGGCTCTGTACCATGTTTCATACACTCGTACGAGGCACAAGTCACCAGGGTTTCCATCCGATTCACAAAAACCCTCTCTGGGGTACTGAATCTCTTTTTTCAGCTGCTGATATGCAAATTTTTGGTCTTGATCAAAATTCCCCCAAAACTCTACCAGAACGCATGCCGGGTTTAAGTTTACTCTGGTAATGAGTACGAGTACATTTGAACCCATTGATGGGAGTCCTGGAATAGAACACATGGTGGCTCCTTCCGTGACTCATTCACTCCTTCACTCCAGTGTCTAGGTGTATCTAGAAAAAGAGAGAGGAAGAGAGGGGGAGGGGGGAATAAACACCGGTCCATAAAAAACAGACTGTCTTACATTACTCTGTACTTTTGTAAATAGTTGACATAAAATGGACACAAATTTTCCAAACAAATGTAATTTTTTTTTTTTGTACAACACTAGACAAGAAACATCCAAAAATATAAGACAACTTAATGTCAAGATTTTAGACTACAATTTATATGTATAAAAGCAAGCATGTTTTTCAAGGTTGCATTAAATATAACATTAAGGGACAGGAAACGGGACGATGCGCTATGAAAAAAACGCAGTATAAAATTACCCAAGTGTAATTAGACATTAGAAAGCGTGTTGGAAGGAGTCTGTCAACTGATTTATCTCACAGGTGAGTTTAAAGGCAACAGGTGCAGCCTCTGATTGCCAACACATTAAATTCACATATAGGATCATTAACTGATATACTCTTACAAAAAAAGAGCATTATATAGTTACTCTAATTATGTATTGTCTTACATGTCAAATACACTGGTCCATAAATTTAAAATGGTACAGTAACCTTCAACTTCATATTTAGCGTCAGCTGTGTCAGTTTTGACAAACCTTTGAAAATTCCCGAAAATGACATTAGATGAGGTCGCGTCAGGTCTGTCAGGAGGATGCAGCACAGCGTGAATAAAACGCAGCAAGTAACGTTAACTGGATTTTGTCTCTTGCGCAACAAAACGCAAAGAAACTTCTACATTCAGTGTTCAGCTTACTCCCTCAAAAAGTAAAGTAAATTCGATTTAATAAACTCCATAATAAACCACTCAGTTTCAAAGTTGTGACTTTCCTTTAGCAGTTTGCGAACACTTAAAACGGGACAAAACCATTTATGTCGATCATTTGAATCAACACACATTTAATAGATAAAGCCTATATGAAACAAACCTTTATGACAAACACTCACCACTTCAGGGTATATTCCGCTTTTATTTCAGTGTTGACCAACGACATCTTGGCTTCTTGTGTGGGATCGAGGAGGATTAACTTAACGGCTAAGAACCGAACAATGGATTTTCACCCCGTAATACTTATTAGTTTTAGCTAACAGCTAAGTTTCAGTTACACGAAAATCGGGGAAAACGAACTACTTCTATAGCCGATAATTTAACGAAGAAATTAGGAGATACTAACTAGATGCCACGAATGTTGCTCTCGCGCCTCGTTCTCGCGCATTCACCTGATTGGCTCATTTAAGGTCAGACGGAAGTTCATTAAAAAATGGAGGCAACAATATTTAACAAAGTTAAAATCCTAATCCAACGCAAGATATTTAATTATTAATGTAGTGTATTACTATAAAGATTAAGACTGTAATGAAATTAATTTCAGGTTAATGTTTTTTTTTAATGCAGTTTCTGAAAATGCAATTACAGAAAAAATAAGTATATAGTATATAAAAAGTATATAAAAAAAATAAGTATCTTTTTAAAAAGTAATATACAGTATATGAACTTATATGCAATATTTTATTGATTACCAATGAAATGTGAATCCAAAATATTTACCACTCAAAACATTGTTCATTATGTATTTTAATTTGTAAAAATCTAGCTGATTATAACTACTGTGTACAAGTTTACATGTATAATAAAAATGTGCAAATAAGACACCAGGCAGATATATTAAAAAAGAAAAACACTGATTTAATAAAACAAATGCTGATGAACAAATGCCACTTTACTCAATATTAACAGAAAACTAATTGAAAAAGACATTAGGTCAATATATAACAAGACTTCAGGCCAAGTAATGAACACTGTTCAACTTCAACAGGTACAATTTTTTTGGGTAAAAATCATTACTTAAAGGGGTAAAGTGAGAAGGATATGGGTGCAAGAAAGAATAATAGAACAACAGAAATAAAAAAAAATGTTGACTATTTCGGTGGGTCTGTGTTTATCCCGTACTTCTCTTTGAGAAGTTTCAGCTGCTCCTCCTTTTTCTTTGTGTCCATTTTTTGGAAAGCCTGGTGGGGGGAAACAGGTAACATTAGAGTTTTGTATCACACTCAATGAAATTAACTTTGAAAGTAACTGCCAAAGTGAATAGTTGGACAATAGTCCAACTACCACATTATTATTATTAAAAAAATAATAATAATATATTTTATATATATATATAATTTCCCCTCAGTCTTCCTTATTTAAACGTTCTTTCTGGTCTCAATGTCATACATGTATGTTTGTAAGAGCTCCTAAAAAACCACAACACATTCCTTGTGTGTTTGCACAGACTTGGAGAATATAGCTCATTCTAATTCTGATTCTAGTCAATAGTTAGTCACTGTCTGTTTTCACTGTATGGAAAAGAATGTTTTGGGCATTCTGCATAATATCTCCTTTTGTGCTCCCCAGAAGAAATAAAATGATAAGTGTTCGAAACAGAAATGAAGTAAATGACAAAATCTTAATTTTTGGTAATCTACTCCTTTAACATACAACAAAACATCATGAAAACATTTCAGTTTCACATACCACAAAGTTAATGTTAGAATCAAAGGCAAAAAAACAGTTAAACTCACCCTGTTCGCATTATAGTACAATACAACTAAGTATCTGTTGCAGACGTTGAATCCAGAAAGGTGATCACAGGCATTTTTGGCATCAAAGATGTCTTCGTATACGACATAGGCTGTTCCTCTTGACTCTGGTGTGTTCCCACTAACAATCACAGAACAATCAGTTACTCAGCTTACAAAAATAAACGTCATTAATGACACAATCAGTACTTTCTTTAAATTAAAGTGTCTCTTATGAATAACAGTATGTAAATGTGAGAAAAATACACTGATACTTACACTCTGATTTGACGAATTGGCCCATACTTTCCAAAGATGTCATACATCTCCTCTGCGGTGATCTTGTATGGAAGGTTACGAATATACAATATCCTGTTCACCTCTGGAGGTAAACGAATCTGAAACATGCCAGCAAAGAGAAACATTAACATACACATTCATGAAATGTTACAGTTTCAGATTATTAAAACACAAACCACACAGTCATTTAAAGAACTTAAACGTTCTCAAGCGCTTCGAATGACATTTAATTATGAAAAAGAATTCATGAATTCCGACATGGACGCAATATGGTAAACGTTTAGACCTTTATATATATAAAGAGAGGGCACTCGAATCCTAAATACGTCCAATCGTAAAAATACAAAAGCAGGAAATAGATATTTAAAATTCAACTAGCAATAACGCTTACTTGTTTGTCTTAGAGGTAATTGATCACGTTTATACCAGGAAAACAACAGTAAACATCCATCTCCAATGCACCGATTAGCCATTTTGAGCCCAACACTATCAACATCACGATCATTTGAACGTTTGAAACAAATCTGGACTTACATTCGCTCGTTTAGCTGCTTGCATCGCCATGGCTGGATCTTTTTAAAGAAAAAACTCAATATTTACAACAACAACAAAAAAAACTTTACCAGTAGTAATCAGTTGCAGCTAGTTCAAGCTAAAGTAGCTGCGCACTTATTGCGCAATGTTTGATGGCGCAGTGCGATGACGTCTTTCCGGGAAGGCTGCGGCCAGGTTCCTTTGAGGTGACGTCAAGCGGCGATTCCACTCAGGTTTCATTCTAAAAATATCACAGACAAAAGTTGCTGTTTTGCCCCTAGCAAAACGGGACATAATATTTTTGTCCTTATAAGCAATTATTTTAGATAGATCTATTTGCGGCGATTCCACTCAGGTTTCATTCTAAAAATATCAGACAGACAAAAGTTGCTGTTTTGCCCCTAGCAAAACGGGACATAATATTTTTTGTCCTTATAAGCAATTATTTTAGATAGATCTATTTGTTTATTAACCAAAATCTCCTTTTGCTTGTTTAAGGATGTTATTTGGTTTCTATAACGTGAACAAAGCAAGAAATTAATACTTTATTATTAATCTTTTATTGCTTCTTGCCAAATCTCATATTAATCGTATTAAATTCAGTCAGCAAAAGCACATTTTTATTGCTAGCCTATATATCCAAGCTATTTTTTCCTCAAATAACTCAAAATCTCTTAAGACGATACACCTGTGCTGCCCTTTTAATTTATTTTAGAATTCAACATATTTTGACGAAATATAATATTTTATTTTATTTTAATATTTGTATTTTAAATTATTTTTAATGTACTATATTAAATATGCACATTTTCATTTGTTCTTTATTCATGTATAATATAAAATTGGCAATATAAAAAAAATCTAAATAGCTGAGAGAAAATTATTACATAAGATATTTAATACTTATCAATTTTTCATTTTAATAAAGGAACAATGCATCCAACTGATCGGCAAATAAACAACAAAAACCACTCAAATCGGCGTGAATGTTTCAATATTTGTTATAGATGTATATTAGGGATGTAACGATTAACCGCGAGCCCCTTGAAAATCGATGCAAATATGTGACGATTCAAATCGGTTGAGATGCCAAATAAATCGCGATTCATTTAGGTGTAGGAGTTTATATGAATGCATGTCTGAGGGGAACTTACTGTCTTTAGAAAAGTTTAGATGGTATTTTTTACTTTTCATCTTGCCTCTGTATAAAAATGCATATTAAAGTTCATAAGTTCAGCGTTGCTTTGTTTACAGCGGAAACCAAGGAAACGCTTTAAGCGCCACCTGCTGGCAGAGAGTGAATCTGCGTCTCATTCAGCTCTGCTTTCATGCAGATATTTTTATTTATAGTTTCACAAAACTGAAGTCAAACCATTCTGTTTTTGCTTCAAATTTCGAAATTATACAACCTAATTTAGATTAAAAACTGTTCATGTTGCATGTCCAAGCAATAATAAAAGGACACATTTAATTTAGAAACTTAATTTTGCTGTCAAGTTGTATCCTGAAAAGCGCTATACAAATAAACTTGAATTGAATTGAATATACATACATATCTATGGCTCATGTCCTACGAATTCAACACTCTGCTTCCATCTAACGGACGTCTTGTGTTATTACAAATTACATTTGCTGATTACATTTGCTGTCCAGAATTATATGGGTCATTCCTGTAATGCAGGAATTTCATTACTTCAAGTGGATGATGTTATGTCCACAGAAGCTTCTAACATGAAATCTGACAGTTTTTGCAGAACTATCCCAGGTGTTTCTTCATTATCTAAATAAAATGATAGCTTTTTACATTCTTCCTTAAATTACAGCAGACATATATTACTTTTTAAAAGTTACTGCATAGCTGCATAAAAGTTACTCATTTCAGTCCTTATATGTGCTGGTAAACAAATTATATTGTAATTTCAGGTAATACATTTCAATATCTACATACTGAGTGACCACCAAACTCCTTTCAAATCAAACTCTGACATTGAGGGGAAAATCCCATGTACTCTTTTATTAGCTTAAACCACAACACAAGAAGTAGTGCAGCCATGGCATCAAGGGCACAATACATGCTACATGTACAAAATAACTTTTAAATTGGAAAAGTTTGCCATTGCATGAATTTGGTGCGGTGCCTACGTAGGTAAACATTACAATGACCAAGGTTATGCTTGTGTAAAGCTCTTGACACTGGCAGAATGTACTTTCAAATGGACCACAGAAATGTATTTAGAAATCGAGTTGGTGCTCAAAATGTGCAGTCGGTGCAAATGTCTGGATTTAAAAAGTAATAACCTTAGGGTTAACCTTTAAAACCCTCAGGTGGAGTTCTCCTTTAAAACCAGCGTGTAAAAAGTAGAAATAAATACAGTCTTGGACGTCTTAGCTGTCAAGGATTTTATATCACTTTAAACCTAAAAATGATTTTCATAAATTCATTCCATGCTCGGGCCCCACATAAATCTGCACACTGATATGCAATTTATTACATTTGATGACATTCTAAAACTGCACAGCTTGTAGGTTTTATATGGGAATATTTTTATGGCATAATATTTCCACCATGAGAATGAATGTATGCTCTCAATCGCTGAATTATTCTCACGGATTACATTCGGCCACACTGAATCCCTCTGTTATGTACATAGAAGGTGTAGTAAACTAGCCTTTTCCCATCAATGCATCACAGATCTTTGCAAAACCAATGAATTATCCATCTAAATCTATTTCACATCTGTAATGTTTCTTTTAAATAAGGCTTGTTATCATTCTTTATGCAGGATGCAAATGAGGGAAGTACTCTTAAGGCAAACCTAATGGCATGCAAATAAACTACATTTATATTCACCAACAGTACAAGCACATTTTAAGGGAAAAGTTCAGTGGACATAAGCTTATCTTTTTGTCCATCCAGACGAGTGGGTAAATCTGGAACAGTTACGATTACCATAAGAATCGGTTCGGTTGACATTACGCAGTATATGGTACACATAGCTAGCATCAGTACAATAAATAGTAGTTCGATTTAATACAGCACATCAATGATGCGCAAGCTCCAGTGGATTCAGAAGGTACTTTGCACACTCTTCACATTTTGGCAGTTAATTTTGACAACTCAATATATATATGTATATTAATATTCATATAATATATTCAAATATTCTATTTGTGCATGGCATGGTCTGTATGTGTGTATGCATTTGCAATGTACACATGCATATGTGTGTGTGTGTGTGTGTGTGTGTGTGTGTGTGTGTGTGTGTGTGTGTGTGTGTGTGTGTGTGTTGTGTGCAGGGGGGTCGGTGGAGGTTACCAAAGGAGAGCAGAAGCTGTGCACCATCGAGCGGGGGAAAGTGTTCGGAGAGCTCGCAATACTCTATAACTGCACGCGCACGGCCACCGTCACGGGTGAGATTCACTCAGTCATAATA